GAACAATAATAATAATTAACAGCCACTAACAATTGTATCAATTATTATAATAATTATGTATTATAATTAATATTACTGAAATTAAGAAAAGAAATTGCAGAAAAATAAGAAGTAAATCTGTTTATAACTATTTTGCAATTATTAAAAAGATCAAAATTATAATAAAACGTAGTGCTAAATAACAATGTAAATATGCTTATTTGCAATTTCATATGTAATGCCACTACTTTATGCGCACTTTATATCTACATATGTATCATTACAAGCATTTTATTACCCATTGATATTCTGAGTAGGTAATAAAAGACAGCTAATGTACACACGTGCATTTCCCCTTGTTTCACGGTACATTTAAACCAATACAGAAAGTCCTCTGCATTTAATTAATCGCTGGCTAAAAATTCTGTTAAAGTAAAAAATTGTCAAAATACAGAACGATTATCCGAGAGAGATGACAAAGGAATTTGAAGCGGCGCGTCAATGGCTTAAAATTGGTAGGAAGTTTGCAACAGGTCGAAAATAGGACGAGGGCACCGCTTTACAATGAGAACAATTTGATCTTTATAATCCCTCGTGATCGTTATATTCGAAGCTGTCCCTCAGTTTCGAACGAATTAACGTCACGATTGTCCGACTTATTCGTTACGCGAGGAGGTCCTGATAAGAGGTTAACAGTGGCCAATGTCCAGGACAGGGTAGACGATGAGAGTCGCGAGCGGGATCAGTTCTGGAAATCTCGATACATCGAAGAAATGAGAATGCGTTGGTGTTCCAGCCAGGGAGTGTCGCAAGGATCGCCGATGCTGTGCAGCGAATCGTTGCATCGTGCATCCTGCTCGTAACAGGCAGCCAGTGAAAGGAATACGCCCTGTGATGATCCGTGGCAAATCCGGCGATCTGAATCCTGTAGCGAGGTCGCCGCGGTCCGTGTCTTACGAGACATTGCAAAGTGGCCGATTTAATAACGCCTATTTGACGGCCGCGTACCATCCTGTTAGTGGATCTACTCAGGCTCCTATGCATCATGAATAATCGTTATTAGCTGAACACGCGAGGAACGAGATTACAAACGCGAGTTAGAGAGCTCGCATGCCGCTATAATTGACGTTCGGCGAACAAAAATCTTGTTAAATGTTAATGAGGGAACAATCGTCGAATGCCAGGTGAAAAAGAGTACCGTTTAACTCTGGGGATTATAGAGTTTCTCGTTTACGGTGTTACCCTCGTTTGCATCGTACAACGTGTATTTCAAATTTGTAAACTTCGTTCCTTTGTTCCTTTGTGTTTCGTTATGCTTGTGGTTATGATTGTATGTATGCTTGTGTTGTTTGTGTGTTCGTGTGTGGTGTCGAGAGAGAGATTATACGTGAGTATTAACGTGTCGTGTTAACATTAGAAGTATGAATCTGTAATGTATTTTCAAATGACATACATTTTGTTATGCGATATATAATATGACATATACACAATGTGATATTAATTAAAGTGGCACGATGAAAATAGATAGGTTTGTATAATTATTGATGATGGTTAATACTAATTTTGTCAAAATTCGTGTATTTCTTTATTCCTTTATGTATTGGTATGCTTGTGGTTGTAACTGTATGTACGTTGCATGTGTGTGTTGAGATTATATGTACATATATGTACTTATATACTTATATTAAGATTAGAGCTATTAATCGCTAATGTATATTTATATGTCATATATTTTATATAATATAATATGTAATATATTGTAATGAATAGCTGGGACATTTTTACACTGCGAATGTATACCGAATGAAAAAGAAATTGTGTAGAAAAACTGATTAATAACAAAGTACAAAACTTGTGTTAAATTAAAACAAACAGCAGAAAATGTATTAGTAAAATATATTAAAAAATGTATTAACAAAACTGTGCAAATATGAATAAAATGTATTTAAAGCAACGAGTAAGAGTGGTAAAAGTGTTTGTATTGATATAGAAATTATATCTATATATTTGTGTATTGACATTAAAAACTATTAATCTCTAATGTATATTTAAATATAGCGACATACATTTTTCGTTACATAGTATATAATATAATAATATATATTGTAATCCGCACTAATATATATAAAAATAATATGCATTGTTCAATATTAATTAAAATAAAGTATATTAAAAGGAAATACTGTTATGTTTCTATCCCATTAAAAGGTAATATTAATCGATTTATCCAAATTGCATGGTTTTAACAGATTACAAAAACACAAAGTCTGAAATCGGTTCCATTAGCTCGTTTGCTTGTTAATGTTGTATTAAACGTCTAAGCTATGTAGAGAGACAAGACGCGCGATGAGAGGTTAGGTTTTAGAGGTTATTATACGCGTCTTACAGTGTTCTAGAAACACTTAATTGATCCTGGAAATATGTTCTTCTAGTATGATATGCAGATGCTTAGTCATTGTTACCTGAGTAACATGGAATTCACAGGTGCTAAATCAGGTGTACACGTAAATAATCGTCGTTTAATCGTAGTTCCTTGACTGAAACTTTGAATAGCATTAGTATTAGAAAATCAGGCAAATAACTATGCAGCTACAGACTTTTTGTTTTTCCAGCTATTAAAAGCATATACATAGTTTCTCTTAGCAGAATTAATGTTGATTCTTATTGAGATAGAAATGTAATTATATTTACCATATTATTTCCTTCATACTATATTCATTTTTATTATCTAGATATGTGTACTTATTATACTTAGATAATTACATATTGCAAGTTAGTATATTTTGTATTAAAAAGAGATCGATGACTGTCAGCTCTATGTTTGAAATGGTAACGAAGTTAAGAAATGGGTATTTATAATTTGCTAATTGGGAATAATATTTATTTATATGCACTAATAAATTATATTTTCTACGCTGTAATTATTATAGGAATTTTTCACTATTTCATTCCAATCTTCTTTGTCCTCGTCTAATTATTTCTTCCTTTTCTTATTTAGATCGTTACTACATATTATATACGAAGTTATATCTTTTGAACGAATATATTTTTATATATTACTCAAATTTTTTATTTTAATTCTTAATTATTATTAAAATTTCAATTATTATTATTGTAATTATTATATTATTGAACTATAATTAATATTTTAATTATTAAAAATTTTATACGGCATTCGATATGGAATTGAAGTAATTTACAATCGAAGTAGAGTTTTAAGGGAAAGCGTTTAAGTATGTAAACAAAAATTTGAATCAGAGTATAATAATTACTGAAATTATAAACAACGTGTTATTAGCGTGAAAATTATTACATGCGAACATGTGTAAGATAAAAGGGAAAAGATTAATTCAATTTTCTTTCCAAAGTTGAAATGGACAGGAAGGAAAATTGTTTGTATAGAACGATAAGAAAATAAGAAAGGATCTAGAAAAATCTTGAATCGTATCATAAGATAATTACAAACTCTGAGACTGAAGAAAGCAAACTGAAATAAAAATAATTCAAATGCATAATTGGTGTACTTATATAATTAATTAAATAAATTTCTGCTAAATAAATTTATAGAATTGTACATAGTACAGTGAAATATGATATAATAAATAATTAAATGAAATATGATATAATAAATAATTAAATGAAATATGATATAATAAATAATATCAATAAACCAATATGTTGTTATATTTATAGATTTAATAAAAGTCTATGGTTACAATTGTGATGATTTTGGTAAATAAATTGGTAATATGGTTATAATGGGGATGATTTTGGTAAATTCAAAGAAGAAATATTGATTAATAATATATACATGTATAATTGACAAATAGCACAATTACGTCGTAATATTTATTCTGCACCCTATGGATGTATGTAGGCGTGCATAAAGCTCATTGTATGTTTAAATGATGTAGATATACTAGAATACCCACTTAAATTAGACAGGCAGATATAACAGAATAACCTTCTATTTATGTTTCCGTTTTGTTTAAAAATATTACATACCTAATCTATACATATCTTTTATAATACACATATATATTATATACATATTATGTTTTATAGATTATAAATATTGCAATAACATTTGTATCTTGTAACAGAATAATATATTATTATAAATAAGATGTTTCTTCGGAACTCACTGAAAATATAAACTTCAATTTTTTTCTTGCTTAAATGCCGTAGGAAGTTTAATCATTTAACCCGTAAAAAATTTTTTAAAATTCAGTAAACGATGACTACTGCGCTTTTTTAAAAATAAAATACCATATTAATTGTTTTTTATTCGGACAATTGTTATCAAACTTAATAACATTAATAACAGATTTCGTAACAGTCGAAACAGTTTTAATTCTTCATAATTAAAGACTTACGATGAACAATCCTTAGGAGAAACTTCGAGGTGACGTCAAAGGATATCAAAATAAATGTCAAATGAGTATAATATCATGTTCAATGTCCTGATGGTAATTCAGCCATTTCATTCTCTCCTATAGGTTAACATAAAACGTTAATTAATAACCATAGCTCTTGCAACGAACAAAAATATGTAAACAAGAATACATAATACCCCAGCACCAACCACTCCATTATTTTTATAAAAATTTATTTTGGTAAAACTAATTTATATTTTATAATAGTCATTAAATATGAAAAATACTTTATTTATTACTTAAGTTACTTAAATTACTGCTTAAATTCATAAAAATACTGCATTAATTAGAATTCAATGGAGATTTCATGAAAGACTTGTTACAAAATAGAAAATACCTAGAATTCCAGGAACGTTATTTCACTTCTCTTTCATGTAGCATCGTGAATACCTTCGCAGCCAACGACATTCGTCAGAGACACGATCGCTACCCTGCTTACGAATTATAGGAATAGATAAAACATATTCTCTCCCCTTCAACTTGTTCGTTACAGTGGCGGGGCGGGAAGGAAGTAGAAGCATAGTACTGTGGCGACTATAAAGCCTCATCGTGGTCCGTCTGGTCCCGTACTTCTAGGCACTACCAGATAGGACGAACTCTTGTCACGTGTCTTTTCGAAAATCAAAGTGGACCGTGATCGAGTAGTACCATTTAATAATTGTGTTGTACCAGGTGGCTCCGTGACTACTCGAGGATTTTGAACCGTTGCTATTGTCCAGTCACCATGAAGATTCTTGTGAGTGCAACCTTTTAATGTTATTTTCTTCTCAAAGTAATGTTAATTGATATTTTATTATTAATTAAATATCAGATATTTTGTCGTAGATATAGATATTTATTATATCGGATATGTAATAGATATTTTCTTATTAACTTTGTTGTTAGTTATTAAGTGGTGTCATTTGATGATTATATACATTATCGAAACTTATTTTTAAGTGTTAATTATGTTAATTGATAATTGTATAGGTATTATCGATACTTAAATATATACAATCCCAAAGAGGTTTCGAAAATATATTTTTATTATATTACATTTCTAAATATACTTTTTAAATTATGCGTATAACTGCTGAGATATTTTGAAAATATATTTAGAAATATAGTGCAATGAAAATTGTTTTAATATTATTATGAACATTAAGTTTGTTGAGTATTGATGCCATTAAATATTCTGTGACATATTTTACGTAATATTTTTATATATTATAATGTATGAAATATTTAATAATAATTTACGAAATTCCCACGAGATATAGCTCTTAAAGTACTTGTTTCTGGTATTACTAAATTACAGTATTTAATATTGTTTAATATTGCTAAATTTTATTCGCACGTTTGTAAATATAATATTGAATGTGAGGTAAAATGAATTTGATATTCATACTATGGGGAATCTGTTTAAATTATATATTCTAGTAGAATCGTATGTTTTATTATATATACATATATAGGTTACAAATCAATTTTAAATATCTCTATTATAATATCTAACAAAATATAAATAATTTGATAATATTCTCAATGATGAAATGTATACATACATATAGTTTTGATGACTGTTTCTGGTAATTTCTCCTATTTATAGTAAACATTATTTCTTGTTACATTCTCTAATAGTTATTGAAACAGATTGTATAAAACTGTTAAAATTGTTAAAAACCATTATTTCATTGTATGTTACAAATTTTATAACGTATTATACATTAGATTCAATGGAAGGAATAAAATATTTTAATTTGTGTTTTTAAGTGATTGGTTTCATTGGTAATTTTAAATCAGCACTTTAACACAATTTAAATTTCATCATCATCAAAATAACGTACATTATGATGTATAATTTAATTAATTAATCTTGGATACAATGCGTGTTCGTACATTGTATATTAAATATACATGCAAGTTGAATTACACGTAATTATTTGAAAAAAATTGAAAAATTAAGTTTCGCAAAATTGACTTCGCGGTTCAATTTAGTTAAATTGATAAATAAATAAAAATTATCCACAGATATACGTACCAAATACACAGAGCCCACTTAATCGCTGAATTTAAGCAGAAATATAAATGCAACAAATATAATACAAATTTTTATATATTCCAAAAAGATTTTGAGTAAATATAATTAAGTAGCGAATATAAGAAATATCCTATAAAAAGTATAATATAGAAAATAGGAACAATTAATAGATAAATTAATACTGATGATTAATACTGATAATACTGAATAATATTATTCTTACTGAATAATAATTCTTCGTTTTGTATCGTATAATAATAAGATTCCATTTGTTAAATAATGAGATTCCATTACTATAATACAATTAGACTCTTAGATAGATAGATGGATAAACAAGATAAAATACTGAAGATGAAATATGCAACGCATCAGTTGCATATAATTATTCATAACTTCATAGCTGTCTGCCCACTTGCGACCCATTCTGTTAGCCCTTCTGTATGACTAATATATGCAGTTAGGCAAGTATGCTATTCTGTGTGAAAAGTGGAGTTAATTAAAAACGTAGATAAATCTGAAAATTAATTATCGTATTTTTAGAAATGAAGAATAATTTTGCTCATTTTTTTCAGACATATTTTATCAATAACACACTTATATTTTCTGTAAAATAATAACAAATTATTTATTAGGATTAATTAATAGATTAATAATAGATACTGATTATTTATGAAATAATATAACAAATATTGATACATTATCAATATTCAAAACTCGTAAAAAGTATCATAATTCTAAATGTACTATACCAAAATTGATTAAAATTATAAAATTGGTTCACATGAACTAATTAGCTTTTATATTAATCTATAAGCCAAACGATACAACATAAATACATTATTACGTTAAAAATAAATTCATTATAGTTTATTAAAACAAAACAAGTATTTAAAATAAAAAGACACTTTCTCAAAAAAATTAAGAATAGCTCGAAATAAAAATTAATATATTATGAGTGAATTTGTTATTGCTATAGTAACATTTATAATCCTTTTTTGGGGTTAATAAATAATTTATTAGGTAGTTCCTTCTCGTTTGTTCTGAAAGCAATCGTATTATATCGTATTTTTCCAAAATATTTAATTCGAATACTTTGTTTAAATATATCACTGTTTTTCCCTTTAAAATACAAATTTTTTATTCTCTGTTTAAACTAAATTTGAAATAAAATATTCTTTTTTAATTTAATAGAATTTTCGATTTGAAGTCTTATTTACGTTTCAATTTTTATAAAAAATATTAAATACTATTAACGTTAATTATATCATTATTTTTAATGTAATCTTTAAAAGTAATAAATTGACATGTTAATTACTAAGAAAAATTAACATGTCATCCAATATCTATATCGATAATATTCTAAAATTAATTCTTTGAAAAAAAGAAAACGAAAAACAATTAACGTATCAATTTTTTATTCAAAAACCTAGTGACAAATTGATAAAACTATCCAACAAAAATTTGTCATAAAATAATCTTTAGTAAATACACTAATATACCAATGATACTAAAAATCATACTAGAAATTATATCAAAGATTACTCGGTAAATTATAATATAAATTATAACATCAGTCAGTAAATTATTATAAATTATTAAGTAAATATATATCGCCTAATTACTAATGAATAACAAGTGTATTCTTGTTTGTTTTAGGTTCTTTTAGGATTTACGACAATGGTTTGTGCCCAATTCAACAGATACCCATACAACCCTGATTATTACGGTCGACGTTTCGCCATATTGCGACAGTCGCAAGATTCTTCTCCGGATGGATCGTATTCCTACAGGTGAGATCGTCCTTCCACATCGTCCTGAACGTCGACAGAACGATAAGCGTCGTCGAGGTACGTTTCCTCAAAAGCAATCTCGACACGCTCGAAGAGTCTCACATAGTCTCAATCCTAAAAACACATTGTCATCTGTTCACGTCATTCTTCGTTTCGAATCTATTATTGGTTGCAGTATCTCTCGTGGATACATCATAAAATGTTTAATTTTGCAAATACTTTTTATGTCAAAGAAAGATCAAGACATTTTCTTCCAAAATTCATTTATTGTATGATTATCTCAATTATTTTTTCAATTCGTTAAAAATCCATTATTCACTTGAACGTAAACAAAATTTCGTTAAATTAATTTCTTTAAATTAAACAATTGAAATTTGACTCTAATTAAATAATATTAAATAATATTTTATGCTAAATTAAGTTACCGACTTATTTAAGTATTAACTTAAAGTATTAAGTCATGTTCCCTAGTTGTCTTTCGATATTCAATTTTATCTCGTTTGAATTTCCCGTATTAAGTCATGTTCCCTAGTTATCTTTCGATATTCAATTTTATCTTGTTTGAATTTCCCGCCAATTTCAAACACTCGTTTCCTGATTCTTAGATTAAAGTGAATTGAATTGAATTTCTTAGAATGATATCCTGCTATGTAAAGATTGGTAACCTGTACGTTTATGGTCATACGATTATGAAGTTACAAAGCTTGTACCTTTGAAAATAGAAACGTCTGCCTACGTTGCTAGTTGGTATGCTATCTATTATATTCGTTGTTTCTCCCACGCTGGAGTTTTCACGAAGTAATTACGTAAATGTGCAAATCTTGGGTATACCCCAAACAATTTTCTTTAAATTCTACACTGCAACATTACATTTAGATTAGGTATAATGATGCAACGGAACGATTAATAATGGTATCTTTCAGTAATTTTCAAACAGGAAATACATTGTTAATAATTTAATCTTGTTACTTTTTTCATTGCAAACATTGCAATACGTATTATGATGACATGAAATATGACACAAGCGTAACCTTGGCTTGAAAGAGTATACAATGTTTTATACAGCTGACCGGCATTTGGCACTTTCTATAGTAATTTAGCTTTCTATCACACCTGGGTTCCCTCGACCATGATTAACTACGTTAAGGTCATGAACAGATCTAAGGTTAAATTAAGCCCTAACTTTATAGAATATTCTACTTTTAAACCTGAGTTAATCCAGACATTTTTCTTATATTTATTACAAGTATTACGTGGAGTTTCATAACTAATCGCATATGCGATAATTATAATTACTCGTAACACATTTATATTATAGAAAGTTATGTGACGTATATGCACTATCAAATTATTATTATTATTAGTATTATTATATATATTTATATGTAATAATAGTAATAATTATTATAGATGCATATAAAGAAACATATGCAATAGTCCTTATTAATTACTTTATTGCTATTTTCATGACATATAGATATACATATTTGTGTTGATGAATTTTTATTCGTATTTCTCATACATGTATAATCAAATTACTTTATTAGATACACTCGAAAAAATATTAATTTTATAGCCTTTTATTTCTTTTTAAAACACAGTTGGTCTATAAACTATAAAATAACTATTTTATTTCATTTATTTGGAAATTGTTCTATTTTTCTCTTTTTTTAAAGAATGCAACTATCTGACAACTTCCAGTGTAATTGTGATAATACTTTAAAGAATCTAAGAATAACTTTTAATAATTTTCACTTGAACAAATGAATTTTGGAGACATTAGATTTATTTCTATTAAAGATAATATTCAGTTTACTATCATAACTACTACTAAGGATGACAAAAAATATAATGAAATTTACGTAAATAAAATGAAATCTTATTTTATAGATTTTTTAAAATTGTTAATCAAGCTTTGCGCGATTATATTAAATATTCTATTTCCGTATTATTATTATATTAAAATATTGGTTTTAAATATCATATAATATTTAAATATTAAATAAAAAAATTAATACACATACAATAGTCATAATGAATCTCGTGCCTTTTTTTCTAAATTATAGAAAAAATTTTGTTCAGTATATATACTAATCGAATACTAAATACTTCATGCACTAATTTCCTTCTAAAGATATTGCAATTACGGTACCTTAAAAAGTGAACGTATTACTTATTTTATTTCTAATAATTTAGTATAATTTACCTTAAGAAATGAAGGTATTGCTTATTTTATTTCGAATAATTTAATATAATTTGTCTATTTTCAAAGAAAATAATTATTTCAGTTGAAGAACACGCAACGCGTAAATTTTCAAAGATAATTCACTAGTGTCAGCTAGGTTGTTTCATATAGCTTGTTCCGTTAAATGCTACGCACGAACAAACACAAATTTAAAATCGAGAGTACGGAAGCGTAAACGGAGAAGTGGAAAAGAAGGAGAGGAAGGACTTACAGGATATTCAGCTGTGAAAAGATATATAATTAGCTTTGATGTTAATCATTCGTGTTAGTCGGCTGCGCAGTTAGCAATAATACATTACACAATAGAATAATTACGATCGACCTACCTACCTATCTACCTACCTACTTGCTAGCCTCTGTCTACTCTATGTAGAATCTGAACATCGTGCTTAGAACTTGGCCCCTCCTGTCACGTTTAACGTTTAACGAATCGGCCGAATTACGAGCTTCGTCTTGCGTCTCCGAGGTGGCACTTCTGTCGAATGACCACACTATCGATCCGTGCACCAACACGAACTGCCAAGGCGCACTCGCATTGATTTCACCGTAACCAATCATTTCTACGACCAACGCGTTTACTTTACGATAATCTCATAATACACGAACAAATATCTTAACGACCTTTCTTTTAGTTCTACGTACATTTATCGAAAGAATTTTGTATATATATGCTACGATGCAAAAAAAAATAACCTTTCCTTTTCTTTTAGAAAATTTAGATAATATTTGGAGTATTTCGAACATTTTACGAGTAAGAAAAATTAGTTATATTTGTATAACCTGTGAAATATCTGGAAAATTATATAAACTGCAGATGTTAATTATATTTGTACAGTATCTGAAATATTTGGAAGATTTTATAAGTTAAATTACAAATGCAATCTATGAATCGTAATAGAATAAAATTTTAAAGCATCGTGAAACTTTGTTTATGAGTATAATTCGTAAAATTAAAAGATTCATATTAAAGATATATATTAAAATAATTATGATTATAATTAATGATATCGAATTATATATGTAAATAATTAATTAATATCGTACAAAATACCTGTTTGTACTATTGTTCTGAAAAATTTGATCCTTTTTCTACACTACATATTATAGTATAATATCCAAAAGTAATATTCATGAATGACCTATATTGTAGTTACGACACAGAAAATGGCATATCCGTAGCAGAACAAGGAGTACCGAAGTTCTCTGGGCCAAATCAGATCGAATCTGTACGAGGACAGTTTAGTTACACGGCACCAGATGGCACTCCGATTTTGGTTACTTACACTGCTGATGAAAATGGTTTCCAACCTGACGGTGCTCACTTACCTACGCCACCGCCGATACCAGTAGCGATACAACGTGCTTTGGCTCATAATGCGGCTCATCCAGAAGAGGAAGAACCCTACAGAAGATACTGATGAAGATGAAACGTGCTTTAGCTAGAGGGAGCTCATGCGAAATGAATCGAGACAGTACAACATAGACGAAAGGAGACTCTGAAAACTGTAAGCTAACTTATTTAATAATAAGTTGTCTCTGCACGTATCTTAATCGATAAATAATACTGGAAAGATTTTGTTGCCAAGTATTTTTGAGGTCGTAGGAATAATTAAGATTATATTGACACTGTAAATAGCACGTTACGATTGTAATAAAGTTCTCGTATCTGCGTAATAGTAGGAACATTACTTAGAATGTATGATGGTTTCGTTAAATTTTGTAAAATTAAAATTGAAAATTCTGTAAAAGTTTTGTTAAATTATGTAAACACCACTTCGAATTATGTACCGATTTAAATACTTACAGTTAGTTCTATGTTGTATTGCCTGCTATGGTTCTAACCTATTGATCCTATTTACCATATTTTAAATGCCTGCCACGAAGACCATATACTAATATGTCGCTTTATGAATTCTAATACAAGAAAACTACTATTGCTAATATTAGTAGACTTGTATTTCCTATATCCTTCAATCTCATTTCTTATACATTGTTTCTTTGCATACGATGAAAATAACTTTTACAAGGGTACTATTTTTATATGTAGCAACAGATATGCAAAGAGAGAATGATGAAATGAAGGAAGAGTGGTAAAGAAAGACAGAGAGGGATACGCGAATACGAGTATTACATTATGAGCTACGCTATATGTAAAATTTTATTATAATGTATACTTTGTATGTATAAATATATATTAATATGGATATCACTCGTGTGTTGTATCTTTTATCGCTAAATAAACAAACTTTTTACTCGAGAAACAAACAAATAAATAAATATACGCTTATGATTATTTATAACAATTTGTTCATAGAAAAAAATGTTGATGTATTTCTTATTTTACATAAGTATTGAATAATATATGTATTATATCATTTATATTATTTATAATATAATACATATATCGAATAATTAACTTTTTATTATTTTCATTATTTTTAAACGACATGCGAAAAAAGTACTCTTTACTATAATTCTTTGATTATAAATAATAAAAAAGATATTTCAAGTGAATGTTTTAATAACAGTGACTTAAATAAAAAAAAAAACTTTATTGCATCTACCCTACATTCCCTTTTCCTGAAATACATTACACCCTAATTCTTTAGGTATTTGTTGCACATGTCCTAGGATCTCGTGCACTGTAAATGTTTACCTTTTTATTCCATTTAGTACAAAAAGAAATTGAAATCGATATCTGCGATGGTCTCGTATGAAACAACTTGTAACACTTTACCTGGCTCACTCTAAACAAGTTATTATCGTGATTGACTCTGAGTATCAGAATTTACATTTACCATTCGTGTGAAAAGTACTAGATGCGCAAGATGTAACGTTATATTGTCATGGCTGACACGTGTTCCTCATGTATACCAGGCTTAATACGGTGACTAAGATATATAATTATTTCCTAGAATAGTAAAACGAAAGGATCGATCATGTTTAGACATGATTGATTGGATACACGGTAGAATTCCATTTCTGGATTGAAATTTCAGTTGGTGTCTGATTAACTAAACTTTCGGTGATTCGTTCCAATTATTAAGTGAACTATATTATTCAAACGATAGACCGCAGAGGAGAAACCTTAGAGGAGAGCATCAGTGAACTATTATAGGAAGGTTAAGGAGAAATATCAGGGAATGTCCATTTATGTTAGCGATTTTAGATACAGAGGGTGTTCAGAAAGGTTGGGACCAAACTTGGACTGCTGAGGTTAAATAGATGAAAAATGTTCATATAAACTTATATCCAGAAATGCTTTATTAAAAAGATATAAGCGTTTAAAGACATTTATAATTTTTTATGACACTTATAAGAAATATTTGAAAATTCCTCAAAGAAAAAAGAAAAAAAGAATTCCTTATTGAGAATTTGTATTACGTGTACAATTCTCTACTACGAATTGTAAAATGAATTTTATCCGTAAATCTTTGAATGTTTATATCTTTTTGGTAAAGCTTTTTCGAACATATGTTTATATAAACTTTTTCATGTATTTGACCTTAGTAACACTTAGTCTCAGTTTGATCCCAAGCTGTTTGGACAATCTATATATTAGGTACATGTTGGCAATGGTAGTTATAACTGTGGCAGTTAGCACTGCACTCATCCATTTCTGATCTACCAAATAAGAGTAGAAACTTCAGGCTATGAATGATACAGTTCTATTTATTAAATCTTGTTTCTTTACTGATAGTTTCCTTTATATTAAGAATTGACTTTGTCTATTGGTTAGTTTATATAAATGGAGTTCCACTGTATATTCACACCAAATTGATAGGATATGAAGTAAGAAAATATGTGACTGTGGAACTTATGGAAAGGGAAGAAGCAGCTTAACTGTTGCAAATTAGCGTGGAGCAAGAAGCCGCGTGAAAGTTGAAAATTGCTTCAATCACGAACAACATTCCATCAATTGTTGTTATTTTGAAAGTACGTCAATGTAGTATGCAAATATATAATCTGGCTCGATGTACAGGAAATATAGTTCGTTAAAAATATTATTTATAAAAATTATATGCGTGAATCGGGTCAAGTATAATACATAAATAATAGCTTCTTAAAAATAAAATTGCATATTATGATAATACCAAAAAATAAATTATTGAATAATCTAAAAATCAGAAATATTGTCTAATAGCCTAACAAGGTAAGAAGAATTGAAATTGTGATTTACTGAAACAAAATCTCTTCGCAAAATAATTTGTTAATATCTAACTTAAAATTAAAACAGAATATTCAATAATATGATATATAAAAGAGGGAAATTTTAATTCATGGTTTATTTAAAAAAGAAGGTAATAATTTTACAAAATAATAATTTACATCTGATTTTTAAGAATAAAAAGACATAGAAAGTAATTGCAATTTTAAATGCAATATGTACATACAATGTTGCTTCATTACCTGAATAGAATTGGCACTGCCCCTAGCATCTGCACCGACGGAATTCATCCAATTCTTTAGACCCCCAACCAGTGCAACCTTCGTGGTCCCACCCAGAGCAACTTATATACTGCACCCAACGTTCATTCAATTTGCATGTTCTCATTGTCCCACGATTGTCGTGTTGTAATTCTTTTGTAATTACGAAGGCATTTTGTTGCAGTCTAAAAACGAAATTGGATACGAATATTGACATATGGTATATAAAAACAAAATCAGGCTTAAATAACGTAAAATTTCGTTTTATTATATTTTTTATTACGAGCTTATAAATATTATAAACGTTATCAGTTTTTATAAATATTATTTTCTCTTTTCTAATGAATTCAAACTTTGATACAGGCTTTGTGCATTAAATTTGCATAAAAATTGTAGCAACGAAGTTATATTTCATTTCCTTTGTGTTTATTAAATGAAAAAGCTATTTTTTCATTTCTTTCGTGTTTATGAAGTGAAAATGTAATTTTCCATTTCTTTTCCTTAAATTTTCAATTTAATTTCGTAAATAACGCAAAGATGACGTTCATTTTTCTTGATGTCACAATATTTTTTAATTTCATCAATCAGAATTATTACAAAATTATCCATGTAAGAATTAAATTCAAGAGCCTAAACTCAAACTTTCTTAAAATTAATATTCTTTCATTACATTGACAGATTGTCCAATATATTTGTACAATTTACAGGTACACTAATACAAATCAAAATCATTGACTACGATATATCAAACAATATACTATTTTTTGACTTTGATGAATTTATTAGGGGTTCTTTCCATTCTAATATCATATCTATATTTACATAATTTTTACACATAACATAATACTTGAAATTTGTTTATAAAACACTAATAGTGCTGGTAATTATGAAAATAAAATCAAAGAAAAAAATTTGGAAAAAACGATTTTATCACTTATCTTGTATTGCATTCATTTATATTGCGATAAAATAAAACTATTTTTAGAGAAGTAGCAAAAAATCAAATTTTTAGTTTGAATTTAACGTCGTAATTAATTAATTAACCTATGTTACTAATTAACTACAATTACTAATTAATCTATCATTAACGTATATCGTAATTAATTTTTTAATTTATTATATAATGTTTTTCAAACGCGAGACACAATTGTTTCAGAGCATAAAAATTATTCATTCTCTGTAACTATCATGACAACAACCCCAATGTGCGGCATATGTTTCCATGCATTCACATTGCCTAGTTCAATACTTGTAATATATATTAATATATTTAATATAATTAATCACTCTTAACTCTTAACATATCTACCTTTCCAAATCAAAAGTAGTACATATTATATCCAAAAAAAAGAATCCTTACTAATATTTATAATTCTATTAATACCAACACTATTTCAAAATCAAGAAAAGGAATCTTTACTAATAGTTATGATTCTATTAATACTAACACAACTTAAAAATTTTAAAAGGAATCTTTACCATTATTTATAATTATATTAATACTAATACAAATTAAAGAATAAAAATAGGATCTTTATTAATTACACCGATTTTGCATTTATCTCTTTTCGTTACATAACTAAGTTCATTTTTTTACCATTTTGCCATACGAAATTCTTCTTTTCAGTTTTCACGGTACAAATTAAAACTTGGCTGTTCAGAGAGATTTTGAGAGCTCACCACATTTGCGCAAAGATTTTAATTTTTCAGAAGATATACTTATTATAATATAATGGCCATAATTTACCTAATTAGTGATCCGCAAGCAGCGTGGGTGTCATTTTAAGAAACTGTACATCATTTTGCACCGAGACCGTTACCTTATGCGTGGGCAGTGGAACGGATCATTAACTGATGACAAATTATAGTTCTAATAGGTGCGAAATTTTAGGAGGAATAACCGAAATGCCAGTTGGATTAATGCTAATAGTAATCGTAATATCACGTTAAAGGTGAGTCAGTGAAAGCAAATCATCGGTCTCTTGTCCATTGCACAACGATCGACCGACCGACCGACCGATCGCATAAATGTTGGTAAAAGGAGTCGACGCATCTCCTCTACTATCTTTCCAATCGTCTAATTTTTATACGAAATTTATTTCATTCCTCGATATATTTCAATTAAATATCACTTGCATTTCACGTTGGTAAAATTGTTTCGTTTTAGACGGTGTACGAATCTGCTGGGTGAAATATTTTGCGTGCACACTCGAATCTTTCCATTTCATTCTTTCAAACTCTAAGCTTCCTTTCATACCACATTTTCAATTCATTTTTACGCGTATAATAGTATTTTTAATTATTCTGGTCACAACGTGTGTCGTTTCATATTTATTCGTGTAGGAAAATTGGTGACGTTAATTATAAAATAATTGGGAATAATTAAGAACATTTTCTCGTTTAATTGAATATCTATTGTAAGTACTTAAGCGTATATAGATTGTTTTTCGTAAAATTATAAAATAGTTGGAACAGTTTATAATTGCTAGTGACTTTTAATCAATTTAATTATATACTAATGTAAATGTTCAAAGTTATGGGTAAAAATATTGTAATATTTTAAAAAGCATTATCAAGTGAGTACTGATAAAATATTTGGGCGCTCAAAAAATTGTTCTACAATTTTAATTATTTTTTCCCTTATTTTTAAATTATATACCAAAATAAAATATATATTAATATATGGAGTATTATGTTATCGTATATC